CCCCACCCTCCTGCATCCCTCGTCCCTGTGCGCCCCTCCCCACGCTGGCCATTTCCAGGACTCCTCCCGCGCTTTATATTCTTACGGCATGACGCCACTTTGTAGTCATAACTTCCTATCAAGGGGTCGCCCCCCCCTCTTCCCCACTCCCCCTCGACACTACGCTGCCCCTACTTCTCCGTGGAGGCGACTTAATTTTTTCCTACGGTGTCACCTTGCCGCACTGGTAAAGTCATTACGCCCTGTGCTTTACGTGCTGACAAGCGGGCGACGTCTGCGATGTGCTGCCAAAAACTAACCTTCACCTTGGTCTTTGCAGCTGGACGGCGACGACCTGGTGTTCGAGGACCGGCACCACCAGCAACACCTCGGCGTCGTGGCCGTGGACAGCGGCGGCGACCACAGGACGGAGCGGCACCAGCAGGGCCCCAGCCGGCCGTCGTCCGACCCGCCACCCGCCGGCCCGACGAGGCGGCGGAGGCACGTCCAGGACGGCGTCGAAGAGCACCACGTGGACGACGGCGGCGGCGGCTTTCTCGGCTTCATAACGAAGCAGCTGCACAGGTCAGTGAGTGGCGAGCGACAAATCTCCGACAAGAGTCCGTTAAAAGTTAAATATTACAGATGGAACAGATAAGTTACACTTCCTGAAATTTCCAATAAGAACATCATGAAAGCCTTTAATGAATTAAATCGCTCAAACGTTTGAAAAAATTTGAGTGAAAAATGTCAGTTAAATAATTTTTCTTTTATGTGTTTGACGTTTTTCTTTTCTGGTGACTGGCAGAGTGCGACGGCAGTCGCTTTTCCCGGCTCTCGACTGGCTCACCGGTGGCAGCGGGAGCTCGACGCCGGAGCCCATCACGTCCACGACGGTGTCCACCACGGCCGGCGAGGACGAGCCCAACGAGCTGAGCCTCGTGGAGCTGCGGGAGAAGCGCAGCACAGCGGCCGACGACGAGGAGGGCGAGGAGCTGGCCAACACGATCGGGGACGCGGGCGACAGCACGGCCGAGCTGGTGCCGTCCACGGCCGCGGAGGTAGGTAGCTCCTCTGACGGCCTCTGGCGGCGCCGTCGGCCGCCTCAGGATGGCTTAGTCGCCGACAAACCGCAGCTCGGTTTGTCGAAATGTTTCTTATCACTCACTCTTATGTCTGAATTAGGGTTCGAAGGCCCGTAAAGTTTCCGGAAAGACTGAACATTTTAGGAAAAAATGAAAAAATTCCCAGACCCCGGAGAATTCCCCGTTTTGGGAAATTTTCAGACATTTTCAACCCTAGTTAGTGTTAATTACTGCTGTACCCCGTTCACGAGCCCGTCCGTCCCGCAGGGCGCGCACGGAGTATCGCCGCCCCTGGAGAGCTCGACGCCCGGCCGCCGCACCGACACTCCCGTTGACGACGAGGACTACGGCACCTCGGGCTCGGACGGCGAGGGCTCCGCCGACGCTGGTCGGCCTGGACACAACACGACATCACCACACGACCTGCAGCCTGGCATCCCCCGTAAAGAGCCTCCACTTGTTCTTCACTGTCCTCTTTGCTATTTATTTAATGACGTTGCTTTTTCTGGAAAGCTTGGGAAAATTCATCCTGTTATGACTCACATTTCATTTGTTTTCGGACTGCAGGATTCTACCGCATCACACTCGTCATCGTGGAGCCGTGGCATGAAGAGTACGCGGACCGTAAGTCGTCGCACTTCCGTGACATGGCCAAGGCCCTAGAGGACGACATCAACCGCCTGTACGAAGAGGTCCCCGGCAAACAGACTGTCAGCATCATCAGCATTCAGTGAGCACGACATTCCACTCACGCATCCATCGGGGGAACGGCTCGACCTCGAGATGGTTTTCCGTTACTTCTTGCGATGTTAAGTAAATCTAATAACATGACCTCTTCACCCGCAGGCGAGCCGAGGACCACTTCGACAGCAAGGTGACCCTCGACCTGGGCACGGACAACTACGACCGCGATCTCATCCAAAACACGCTCCTCAAGCAGATCGAGAAGTACCAGAAGATCGGCAGCTTCATGGCCAAGACGGACAGCTTCACCTTCAGGGACTTCGGAGGTACGACTGAGGGTGATGCACCGCTACCGCACTCTAGCGAAAAGGGTAGACCCGTTGTAGATTGTATGAATGAAATGTAGCCTGAGATGTCCGCGTCCCGCGCTGCTGACATGACAGAAGGCAGCAGGAACTAGTTTGGAGCTTCACAGTTGACAATTGACTCAGCTTGTACGAATTATTATATGTTTGCCGGAACCGGCTAGTGAAATATTTGTCTTCATCATATTTTTTTATTATTTTTATTAGTTCTTTGAAGCGTGCCGGCTCGGACCACTGGCCACGCAGCTGTAGAAACTCGTTAGTAGGCATGCTGCGTAGCTGTCACCCGACCAATTGATTTCTTATCGATGATCTATTTGACGCGGGAGATGATGTCAGCCTCGCTAGATGCATCTCTAGCTCCGTGGAGCGAGAGCCCCGGGCCAAAGCTTTCGGTCCTACCGTAATCGTTTGGGTCGCTTGGGGCTTGCTCGACGTATGTAGTATTTTGCACCGGATAGGAATGCCGCCGAAGTACAGCCGTTGCCGACATGCAGCGCTCACTGCAGGCCCATGTCACACGGCTCTGCATTAGTGTTGTTGGGAGCTGCTCAGTAGTTGATGTCGCACTGCTTATTGTAGCGCGCGGCGCCCCCGTGGAGTGCCACACCTCGGAGCTGGCCTGCCGCAGCGGCGAGTGCGTGCCGCTCAAGACGCGCTGCGACGGCAACCCGGACTGTGCCGACGGCTCCGACGAGCAGGGCTGCGCGAAACGTAAGTTAAAGGCTTCCATAATCACGTTTCACGCGTTTTATTTATTTTCTATTTTGCATGACAGTTTGATGAGACTTAATGATTGAGCTTTCAAAAGTACAAAAATTGAAAACATGTTCCCTCTGTAATAAAGACTGAAATCTCACTGTGAAAGGAGAAACATTTGGTAACGTTTCATATTGTTAACAAACTTTTTTGAAAAGAGGTAACAATTTTAATTAAATATTTTAGTAAATCTGAAAGAGGTTAGATGTTTTGAAAATTGACTGTTTATTGGACTCTGTTTTAAAGAAATCCCACAGGACACTGCTTTAAACACACGGCTCGCTGTGGTGCTTCATCTGTTGTGTTTTTGTGTGTGCTTTGCTCTAACGCCATACTCTCTTCAGACTTCTCTCTATAGTTTTGTGTTTTAATTTTTGTGTTTCTCCGATTGCTGTGTCGCTGTACAGTATACATGTGCCGATTGTAACCGCTCTGTGCGGTGCATCTCTGTGGTCTTGTCTTTCCTCTCTAGCAGCAAACGTCTCAGTGTCCGGCCGCCCTCCACCGGCCCTACGTCGCTCCAAAAGAACTCTCTCTGTGTGTTTAACCTTTTAACAACTGCTCTCTCGTCTCTCTCGTTGCGGTAAGTGTTGCCTGCATGCTGCATGTGTCAGCGCTGAGCCCTCTTCCCAGCGAAGATCTTTCTCTTTTTCACGTTTTCTTTCTCCCTGCCACCGTCGCTTTGCGTAGTACGAACAACACGACAAATTAATCAAAATTTTAAAATTTAAAAATATTCGGAAAAAGACAAGATGCGATTGCCTCTGAGAACTTTCTTGGTCCTCCTCAAATAGCCAGCCGACCGGCACTCCGCGCCGCGTCGACCTAATGGCACAAAGTCCTTCGTGCTTTACTGCTCAGGCGGGGGAGAGGTGGTGGGTGGGAGGGGGTGCATGCTACTTGTGCATTCCGCCCCCCGCACTCGCCCCCTCGCAAGCTGCGCTGAGCTGCGCTGAGCTTCCCAGAGCTTTACTGAGCCCCACGCGGGCCCCTCGTTCTAGCCCCGAGCTTGTTAGAAAAGGGGGGCGGGGGGAGGTGCACTGTGGAGACGGACGCGGCGGGTGCCAGTATCGCGGATTACAGGTTTTAAACTTTTCCGCCCCGGTCAAAAAGTTTACACTGGCCCAGATTGGAGCTCGGCTTGTGTCCCTTGTGCGGTTCGTGAATATATAGCGTTTGGCGGTACTTGTTGACCCGCTTCTTGCTTCTTTTTCTTCTTCAATACTCGTTGGTAAAACGTGGCCGAATGATCAAACTTTCAAAAGTCGGTTCTGACGAGCTCATCGAATTGCTACCATTTATTTCAAAAACCTGCTGTAAAATCTATGTGAGCTATGTGGGACAACTGCCATACTGCACGTTCGATGTTAGTACTGTGCGCTCTCTTTGGCCTGTGCCCTAGTCTTCGCCCTATCATGTCGGTCGCTTAAACACGTGGGGTATTCCCTTGTGGACATACAGCTCTTTCTCTATCCTTCCCTCTCGGAATGCATGGGGTATCGCCGTTGCGCCTTTGTACCGGGTGTAACTGAGAATGCGCAACAGTGTTGCGGGTTTGCCTACCCAGTTAGCCCGTAAGGCGCCATGGCCCCTGCAGCCCTGGCGGGTATGCAATCCCGCAACACTGTTGCGCATTCTCAGTTACACCCGGTACATCTGCCGCCCAGCCAGCCCTCTCACCACACCCTTCACACATCCCTCATCAGCAGACCCACGCCACACGCACTCGCTCTCACGGCCGCTCCCTCGCCTATAGGCACCTCCCCGTCGACCTTCAACACCACCACCTCCTCGTGGGCGCCAAGCTCCACCGGCAGCGTGGACGCCGTGTCGGGCCTCGACGCCAAGGTGACCCGGGGCCCCGGCGGCCAGCCCTCGTGCCGCGCCGACGACCAGGTGCGCTGCGGCGACGGCTCCGTCTACATCTGCGCCGACCAGAAGTGCGACGGCAAATGGGACTGCCCGCATGGCGACGACGAACTCGGCTGCCCCAGGAACGGTCTGTACTCCTCGCGAACTCCGCATCATCATTTCATTTGGCTTCACCTGCGATCCGCTCGGAGTTTGGTCCGAACCTCCTGAAATGCCTGAATTACCTTGGGTTTTGCACTCATTGCCTGATGAGAGATGTCTGTTACGTATGACCCCGGGCCTGGCACGCCCAGTTTATTTTCCCCTCCCCTGATGCACCCCTCATGCCTGAGAAAACAAAAATTGAACGCATGTTTCCGAGTCGAGGGCGCGTTTCAGCCGGTAAGTAGCGACATTTCAGCTGCGGAGTTTCGTAGGTTTTGCGTTGGTACAAGTCGGACGCACGCGGCTCCTGGAGAGGATGCGGGAATCAGCAGCTCCAGGATTCAGCCTACGATGCGCTTTCCACCCCTCACCCCCTTCCCCCCCTCTACTCCCTTCCCCTTCCCCTCACGTCCCGCCCCTCTCCGTGGAGTGGGGTATCTTCGTGGTGGCGGCGAGGAGTATTGCCGCCGGCGCCGCACCGCCGCGTCCTGCGCACAGAGGGCGGCGCTGTGCTGCACGCTGTACGGACGACGCCGCTCCTTTTGAACGCAGCCGCTGAACCCTGCGCGGCGCCTTCTCGGAACGGAACAAGAAGAACCCCTACCCCTCTTGAAAGCACAAATGGCACATTTTTCTGAACTGAAACTGCTGATTGCACTTAGGTGTTGAATAACGGCCCGCTGTGGTGGGCGCGTGTTCTCTTTTGCAGAGTGCGCGCAGGGCGAGTTCATGTGCGACATTACGCGGTGCATCCCCAAGAGCAGCGTCTGCGACGACAAGACGGACTGCGTGGACGGCACGGACGAGCTGAGCTGCCCCGACGACACCGAAGGTGAGTCCCGCCTCCTGACCCGGCGATACCCTGCGATACTCGGGGAACCATTTGGCTCGCGCCACTTGGTGGCGATGCGGAACCGCGAAACAACCCCCTCCTCCTCGCCAGCAGTTACAACCGTTGTGTGTTCGAGGGTGAGGGTGATTCCCCCTGCCTTACCAATTATTACGTGTGTAAGTATGCTGTTGCCTTGACACGGATACAGGAAGCACAGGAAGCGGGGTGGTCCTTGCGGCAAACGGGTCAAATGGGGAGGAAAAGCGGGAGGGACGGGGTGGGGG